AAGCTCCAGTTCTCAGAAGCTACATACACTCCCTGGCTTGTGACCCGCTATGTCTTCAAAGCCAGCCATGGCAACTGAACCAGTTACAGCCCTGACATAGCTCTTCTTCCTCCCATTTCTACTGCTAATGATTCCTGTGATTATACTGGGCCCACTTGGATGAACCAGAATAATCTCCCAATCTTAAAATCAGCTGAGCAGTAACCTCAACTTCATCTACACCCCTAATTCTCTTTGCCATACAACCCGGCAGAATCATAGGTTCTAGCAACATCTCTGGGTACAATTATTATGACCTCCTTCCCCCCAGCAGACCATTTGTCCTTCCATCTAAACAGGTTTAAGATGTAACACACTTTTGAATCCGAGTGTGATGCTTATCACAGGAAATTATATATCTGACCACAAGTATTAATTTATAAAACATTAGAACTGTGGTATTCTCTAAGCAATTTTAAGTGCTTATTTATAACAATAGCTACCATGATGCATGAGTGAAACACATGAATTCATTTAGTTGTCCAAACAGCCCTCCATGTAGCGAAGAAATCCATGAGTAATACTAAATCTGCTCAATGTATCTGTGTCTCTACCAATTCCATTCCAAGATCTCCAGAAAAATTCCAAACGTGATCAGTTGCACTAAAGTAGTGGACAGATGTTCCAAATAGTGAGATAATTAAGAAGGTGAAAATACACAGTAGCTCTCTCTTTGCAAAACTACCACTTTCAGAAAAAAAATTTTGGAGAAAATTCATGGAGAAACTGTCATACATTATATTTGCTCTTCTACCATTAACTAGCTTACATCTGTATTACCATACTTGTGAAGTGGCAGCCAGCCTTCAGCAATTAGTTACTTACCCCCCAGATGCTGGTATACTGGCTTCTTGCAGATGGTCCTCAACTATCTGCCCTCTGAAGGGGCAGCTCCAATAAAGAAAGCACCTTACCCTAGGTTGCTCCCCTTTCTTTCTTTTTTTTTTTCTTTTATTATTCATATGTGCATACAAGGCTTGGTTCATTTCTCCCCCCCCCCCCCCCCCTCCCTTACCACCCACTCCACCCCCTCCCTCTCCCCCTGACCCCCTCAATAACCAGCAGAAACTATTTTGCCCTTATTTCTAATTTTGTTGTAGAGAGAGTATAAGCAATAATAGGAAGGAACAAGGGTTTTTGCTGGTTGAGATAAGGATAGCTATACAGGGCATTGACTCACATTGATTTCCTGTGCGTGGGTGTTACCTTCTAGGCTAATTCTTTTTGATCTAACCTTTTCTCTAGTTCCTGTCCCCTTTTCCTATTGGCCTCAGTTGCTTTAAGGTATCTGCTTTAGTTTCTCTGTGTTAAGGGCAACAAATGCTAGCTAGTTTTTTAGGTGTCTTACCTATCCTCACCCCTCCCTTGTGTGCTCTCGATTTTATCATGTGCTCAAAGTCCAATCCCATTGCTGTGCTTGCCCTTGATCTAATGTCCACATATGAGGGAGAACATACGATTTTTGGTCTTTTGGGCCAGGCTAACCTCACTCAGAATGATGTTCTCCAATTCCATCCATTTACCAGCGAATGATAACATTTCGTTCTTCTTCATGGCTGCATAAAATTCCATTGTGTATAGATACCACATTTTCTTAATCCATTCGTCAGTGGTGGGGCATCTTGGCTGTTTCCATAACTTGGCTATTGTGAATAGTGCTGCAATAAACATGGTGTGCAGGTGCCTCTGGAGTAACCTGTGTCACAGTCTTTTGGGTATATCCCAAGAGTGGTATTGCTGGATCAAATGGTAGATCGATGTCCAGCTTTTTAAGTAGCCTCCAAATTTTTTTCCAGAGTGGTTGTACTAGTTTACATTCCCACCAACAGTGTAAGAGGGTTCCTTTTTCCCCGCATCCTCGCCAACTCCTGTTGTTGGTGGTGTTGCTAATGATGGCTATTCTAACAGGGGTGAGGTGGAATCTTAGTGGGTTTAATTTGCGTTTCCTTTATTGCTAGAGATGGTGAGCATTTTTTTCATGTGTTTTCTGGCCATTTGAATTTCTTCTTTTGAGAAAGTTCTGTTTAGTTCACTTGCCCATTTCTTTATTGGTTCATTAGTTTTGGGAGAATTTAGTTTTTTAAGTTCCCTATATATTCTGGTTATCAGTCCTTTGGCTGATGTACAGCTGGCAAATATTTTCTCCCACTCTGTGGGTGGTCTCTTCAGTTTAGAGACCATTTCTTTTGATGAACAGAAGTTTTTTAGCTTTATGAGGTCCCATTTATCTATGCTATCTCTTAGTTGCTGTGCTGCTGGGGTTTCATTGAGAAAGTTCTTACCTATACCTACTAACTCCAGAGTATTTCCTACTCTTTCTTGTATCAACTTAAGAGTTTGGGGTCTGATATTAAGATCCTTGATCCATTTTGAGTTAATCTTGGTATAGGGTGACATACATGGATCTAGTTTCAGTTTTTTGCAGACTGCTAACCAGTTTTCCCAGCAGTTTTTGTTGAAGAGGCTGCTATTTCTCCATCGTATATTTTTAGCTCCTTTGTCAAAGATAAGTTGCTTATAGTTGTGTGGCTTCCTATCTGGATCCTCTATTTTGTTCCACTGGTCTTCATGTCTGTTTTTGTGCCAGTACCATGCTGCATTGCTTTGTAATATAGTTTGAAATCAGGTATTGTGATACCTCTTGCATTGTTCTTTTGACTGAGTATTGCCTTGGCTATTCGTGGCCTCTTGTGTTTCCATATAAATTTAACAGATTTTTCAATCTCTTTAATGAATGTCATTTGAATTTTGATGGGAATTGCATTAAACATGTAGATTACTTTGGGGAGTATCGACATTTTTACTATGTTGATTCTACCAATCCATGTTGCTCCCCTTTCTAAGGTGACCAGACTCATGACAGATCATCACATAGGTATATGTGATTTCAACTAGAAAAGACTCTGATGAGTCATCCCATCTTCAGAGCCCCTTAAGGTGAAAGGTAAAACTTTTGTTGATACATTGTAGACCACCTTCTCTCTGCCCTATCCTGATTCCTCCCCTTGCCTTGCCTTCCCTTCTCTTCCAGTATTGGTCCTGATGAGTACTTCCTGATGAGCTTTCTCAACATTAAACTTCTGCTTCCCACAGAACTTGGGCACTGGAAATTTTCAAGTGCTGCACACAGATCCAATACTTGCATGTGGCAATCTGGCTATGATATCTATCTAGTACTTGAGAAGATTCATGTCTTGAGAAGCAACAGAGTAGACAGAACACAGGCTCTGAAGCATAGATTAAAATTTCAGCTCTGATATATGGAAGCTTTGAGACGAGAGACTTGGTCTCATCTCTAGATAAGGACTGATTAACATCTGTATCTTAGGGTTTTAATATTCAAAGAGGAGGGCAGGGCTAGCAGAGTGGCTCAACTGGTAGAGTCCCTACCTAGTAAGCATGAAGCCCTGAGTTCAAACCCCAGTACTGCCAAAAAAAGAAAAAAAAAAAAAATAACAAAGAGGAGGGCATACATGAAAGTACCTGGCACACAGCCATTATTCTTTAAATGGTACTTTCTTTTCCTATTTACAAATAATCCTGGTTAAACCAGGGGGGCGGGGAACCTTCCCCACTTTCCATTTCTATTTAAAGACCTCCATGGTGACCTCCACGCAGGCAGGGTCACATCTGTCTAGCTCAGCAATTCTTATGAAAACCGTGTGCATCAGCATTACTGGAGGCTTCTTTCTGGTTGTTTTAGGTGCTGAGGATGGAAACCTTAGCACAGGCCTTGTGCATGCTAGACAAGCGCCGTCCACCCCTGGACGGCTTCTTTAAACACAAATTGCTGGCCCCAACCCCAGAGTGTCTGAAGGGGGGCAGGAATCTGGTTTAACAAGTAACCAGATGAATGCTGATGCTAGTCAGGGGCCACACAATGAAAACCTCTAGTCTAAGTTTATCACTAACTTTCCCTGGTACCTACTCAGGCCAGTTCCTAATGCATAGAAAATACTCAAACATTTGTTGATTGACTAAGACATATGACTAAGTTTACCACAATGTTATTTACAAAAGTAAAAAACTAGAAATTAATGTCCAGAAAGGGAAAATGGGCATAGTGGTACATTCCTGCAATCCCAGCTCCTCTGGTGGCTGGGGTTGGAATATTGTTTGAGCTCTCATGTTATAAGCCAGCTTGTTCAATATAGTGAGACCCTGTCTGATAAAAACAAAAACAAGTCAGGCGTCGGTGGCTCATGCCTGTATGTAATCCTAGCTACTCAGGAGGCAGAGATCAGGAGGATTGCAGTTTAAAGCCAGCCCAGCAAACAGTTCACAAGACCCTATCTCAAAAATACCCATCACAAAAAAGGGCCGGCAGAATGGCTCAAGGTAAAGGCCCTAAATTCAAGCCCAAATATGGGGGTGGGGGGGTGGGGGGAGAGGGTAAACCCAGTCAAGTAATGCTACAGAAACACATAAGTACACCCCCCCCAAAAAAAGAGAAAAGGTAACAAAAATGCATGTGTATCAATTTACACTCTATTAAATGAATGTACGTATGGATAAGAGGCAAAAGGAATTTCAAAAATTACTTTTGGGGTTGAGAATTCACTATTTTGGCTATTTAACGTTTGTTTAGAAGACATTTTAAGTGACTTAATATAAAATATATAAAATAGAAACACTAAATAAGCACATAATTAAACAAAACCATACACGATAGAGGATACTGTCACACAAATGAAACTACTGCCTTTGGGAGGTATCTACACATTGGTTGTCAATTTCCTCAAAATTGATGTTATAAAGCACTACTGAGAAGCACAGGACTCGAGATGTGGTTCAAGCAATAGAATGCCTGCTTTGCAAGCTTGAAGCCCCGAGTTCAAACCTCAGTCCCACCAAAAAAAAAGAAATCTACAGAAATAACTGCAAAATAAGCACATGCGTGTACACACACACACACACACACACACACACACACACACACACACACACACACCCTACCTTACCTGCCACAGGAGGAAGAATGCCAGAAAAACGCACGGTTGCATGTTCTCCGTGAACTTCAACTCTTCGACCAATGACATCTAATGTCAAAGTGTCACTCATTTTAAAACAGCCAGAATCCAAAATATAAGATCTAGGGGTAAAAAAGAAAATCACAATACTGATGAGAATTTCACACAATTTTTTTAAAAGATTTTTTGTTTCTTTTTTTCCTCAAGACAAGGTGTACTTTGGTCAAATGGACCTCTGACCTCAACCTCCTAAGTAGCTGGGACTACAGGTATATGCCATCATGCCCACATAAATTTTTTTCAACTTCAAGTACATATTCTCTATCTAGGTCAGTGATTCTGACCAATTCAGCTTCATACTTTGATGAAGAACCTAATATGTTTAGGCCCCATACTTTTATAATTTAATTTTAACAAACTATGCAGTGATAATCTAGAATTTTTTAAATCTTGTTTTACTCCAGCTAGTTCACATCACCTGACTGGTCCACTCCATCACTTACTGAAAGGGATGGAAAAAGGGAATGGAAAATAACACAGAGGAGGGAAGAGGGAAGAAATGACCCGAACATTGTATGCACATATGAATAAAAGAAATAAAAGAAAATAACACGGAAAAGGGGGAGGATATAGGGTGCATATGCACTGTTCTTTCCTTACACATGAAGCAACACACATAATGCATGGCAAGAAAGACATTAAACTCTAGCGAAAACACAGAACCTACAAATAGAGGCCTTAAAAGTATCTGAGAGAAAAGCACCTTCAATATAGGGTTGTAACTGGATCCCACTCCTGCTTCACAAGGCAGAGGGCTGAAAAATGTATTAATGACTACTCCAGGGTTCTTCAGCCCGAATCCAGACAGTGGGAAACTTCACAAGGCAAATAAGTAGGTTTCTTCAATAAATGAATCAAAACAGCAGGAGAAAAAGAAAGAGATGGAGGGAACTGGGCATGGTGCTGCTTGTCTATCAACCCAGGACCCAGGACACTGAGACAGCAGGGTCATGACTGAGGTCAGCTTGGTCAAAAGTCAGCAAGACTCTACCTCAGAAACAAACCAAAAGAAAAAGAAAACAGGCAAATAGAGAGTAAGAGCAACTTTAGATGTCAACTACTTGCACTGTATGGACTTTTATTTGAATCCAAATTTCTTTTTTTTGGCAGTATGGGGGTTTGAATTCAGGGCCTCATGCTTGCCAGCCAGGTGCTCTACCACTTGAGCCACTTTGCCTGTCCCTTTTCTGTTGAGGTAGGGTCTTGCTCCCCGCCACCCCCTGCTGGCCTCAAACTGCAATCCTCCTGATCTCTGCTTCCCAAGTAGCTAGGAATAATAGGCATGAGCCACATGCACCCAGCCCTGAATCTAAATATTTTTAAAAACCTGTAAAATGATACTTTAAAAGAAGAATGTGAGTGGCAGGCACTGGTGGCTCACACCTGTAATCCTAGCTACCTGGGAGGAATGATCAGGAGGATCTCAGTTCAAAAACAGCTGCGCAGGGAGTTGGTGAGACCCCTATCTCAACCAATAGCATGTGTCTGTCATCCCAAGCTACACGGGAGGCAGAAATTAGGAGACTCACAGTTCCAGGCCAGTCCAGGCAAAAAAGTTTGCAAGACCCATCTCAATGGAAGAAAGCAGGGCATGGTAGTGTGCACCTGTCATCCCAACAACAGTAGGAAGCTTACAGCCTGGGTCCAGGCTGGCCTGGGCAAAAAGCAAGACCCTACCTCCAAAATAAGCAGAGCAAAAGGGCTAGAGGCACGGTTCAAGTGCAAAGTTCTTAGTTCAAATCTCAGTAACACCTAAAACAAAATAGCCAGGTGCCAGTGGCTCATGCCTATAATCCTAGCTACTCAGGAGGCAGAGATCAGGAGGATCAGAGTTCAAAGCCAGCCCTTGTCAAATAGTTCCTGAGACCCTATCTCAAAAATACCCAACACAAAAAAGGGCTGGTGGGATGGCTAAAGTAGTAGAGCATCTGCCTAGAAGCATGAACCCTATAATCCCAACATTCAGGAGGCTGAGGCAGAAGGGTAATGAGTTTGGGGCCAGCTTGAGCTACACAGTGAGTTCTACCTAGTCTAGGCTACACAGCAAGCCCGTTTGGACAGGTGGGTAGTGGGGGAAAAGGAAATAGGCCTCCAGCAGACTTAAGTGGTCAAAATCTACCAGAATTACATTTTCATGCCAATTGTATGATCTGTACATAGAACCACCACCTTCTCCTTATCAAATGATCTATAACATATAGACATATGGTATAAATATGTCATAGATATAACATAACCTATAGATGTCTTCTAAGCTTTTTTTGTTGTTTTGGAATTTTTTGTTTTTGTTTTGCAGGACTGGGGTTTGAACCTAGGGCTTCGTGTTTACAAAGCAGGTGCTCTACTGCTTGAGCTGCATTTCCAATCCAGCTTGCTCTGGTTATTCTGGAGATTGGGGGGGGGGGCGGTGGCTCTCTCAGGTTAATGGTCTGAACTAGCCTTGAAATGTGATCCTCCAGATCTCAGCCTCCCAAGTAGATAGGTTTACAGATGTGAGCCACAAATGCCCGGCTTTTTTATTTTTTTGGTGGTGTGGGGATTTGAACTCAGGACTTTGCACCTGACTTGAGCCACGCCCCCAGCCTTGCTTTTTTTCTGGCAGCACTGGAGTTTGAACTCAGGGCCTCACACTTGCAAAGCAGGTGCTCTTTCCATGTTAGCCATTCCACCAGCCCTGTCTTATGTTGGGTTTTTTCTACACAGGGTCTCAGGAACTATTTGCCTGGGGCTAGCTATCAACCTCCATCCTCCTGATCTGTGCCTCCTGAGCAGCTAGGATTACAGACTTGAGCCTCCAGCGCCTGGCTCTTTTCTTTGAGACAAGGTATCGCTATGTAGTCCAAGCTGACCTCAAACTATGGATCCTCCTGCTCACCCTCCCAAGTACCAAGACTATACAAGGGCACAGCACCATGCCCACCAGTTCTGAAGCTGTTCTTCTTAGTGCCAATATATCTATCATCCTGACATACACTGAAATAATGCTAAGCCTATCTTGGCAAATTTTCGTGGTATTTTCAGTTCTACATACATCTGGAATGGACACTTGAGACCACAAGTTCTGTGGAAGTGCTCTTAGCACAATATCCTTTCCTGGAATCTGCTTTGGTCACCTATCATGCTGTTTCTTTGTTGTGGTGCTGGGATTGAACCCAGGGCCTTGAACATGCTAGGCAAGCACTGTACTACTGAGCTACACTCCTGACCCAAAAGTAGAAGTCTCGTAGCCTGGGAAAGTCACCCTGAACAAAGAGCAAAAGCTATACTGCTTCTAAAATACTTTTCTCCCCTTGTCAACCCAGGATCTTCTTTTCCTCTGGGCATGTGGACTTTCCCTGCCTAGTAGAGCTGTTACTTCCACAAGGACCAGGATGGCCATCTGACACTCCTCACCTCCACTTCCTTGTATACATGATCTACATGTGAAAAACCTAATCCAAGCAGAACTCTTATTTTAGGAAATGACAGGGCCCTTCAAGAGGAGATCTCTCAGGCATGCTACATATATGTGCATGTGTAGACAGCATAATGAATTTGAAGGCTGTAAGGAGAGAGGAATGGCAATGGAGGGGGTAAACTTGTTCAAGGTGTATAGGCACGTATAGCATTGCAACAATAAAATTCCTTATTAATATATAATCATTCAAAATTTTAAAAATTAAAAAATACAGAAGATCTCTTTCCTAAAACCTTAAAACCAAAGGACTACTTAAATCTGGATTAACTAGGGGCACTTTGACCACCATGCAAAAAAAATTGTCTCACAAAAGCTAAAGAGAAGAAAGCAGAGTTGATTCAACTATGCCTTACGTCTTTATTCCAGTTAAATGAACCACTAAATTTCTTCTTTTGTTGATACCAGTTTAAGCTGGGTTTGTTTATCCTACAAAGAAATACTGAATACACTGGGGCAAATAGTTTTCGAGACCCCATCTCCAAAATAACCACGACAAAATGGAATGGTGGTGTGGTTCACATGGTACACTGCCTACTTTGCAAGCACAAACCCCTGAGTTAAAACCCCAGTTCCACCAGGGAGGGAAAAATCCTCAATAAAAAGCCTAATAAAATTAACTAATGCGGGCCAAGTGTTGTGGTGCACAGATTGCCACCTACTCAGAAGGTGAAAGTGGAGGATTGCAATCTGAGTTTAGCCTGGGAAAAAGAAACCAAAAGCAAAAGGACTGAGAATGTGACTCAAGTGGTAGAGCTCAAGGCCCTGAGTTTAATCGTATGTTTTTTAAACATAAAGTAACTAATGAAGCAATATGACTTTTCTCAACACACTTTCAACACCGCTGAGTCTTAGAAAACCGGTACTCCACAAATCCATTTCATCCACTCCCAGTAAGTGGTAAGCTGTTTTTTCCCGGTTGTCCCTATCTACTTCCTGAATAAATTTCACATTTAATAGGTGGATCAGAGGATTTTCCGGTTGTTTTTCCTGCACATATTCCCACAAAGATGCTGACAGGAAAGTATCACATACTTTTTATAAACTTTGAAGTGCTAAATAAATTATAAACAATTTGTTAAAATGTAGTATAAACTAACTTAAAAAGAAAATAAAATGAAAACCACCAGAATAGTAACTACTAGTTTTATTGTTGGATATTCACATTTTACAAAAATAATTAAATGCTGAGATGACACAAGAGGCTTCCTTAAAATCAGCAATTTCAAGGTAAAACCAATCTTGTTCTGCAGGGTAAAAATTCTAAAGAATGTACAATAAAATTTAAAATGAAAAGTTAACCAATGTAAGAAGTAGAATATATAGAACAATATGTCTTCCACATAATTAGCTGGGGAAAACAAAAAATGAAACAAAAAAAAAAAAAAGGACAACAGAGCGACTACCTAGCTTGAGACCCTGAGTTCAAAACCCAGCAGCAAAAAGAAAAAAGAAAGCTAAGAAATAGGAAGTATAAAGCTGGGGTGTAGCTCAGTGGGACAGTGGGAGAGCACCTGCCCAGCATGTACAAGGCGCTGGGTTTGATCCCCAGTGCATCTGAGATAGTAGAAAAAGCCCAAATTCATTCACTCAACAATTATAGTACAGTGTTTACTAGAAGCTATTGCTGTAGGCACTGGATATACACCAGAAAACAAAACAGAAAAATACTTGCCCTCATGAAGCTTCTATCCTAGTGTGGAGAAACTATAGCAAACCTAGTAAGTGAATAAATCACAAGGCATGGCATGTGACGATAAAGACAGGAGGTGCAGGGGATGCGTTAACAGGAAAGAAGGCTTGTCGAGGATGGCCTCCCAGAAAAGACAATATTCCAGACAACAGAGAAGGGAGGTAAAGGAGTTAACCACAAGAATAGACAGGAGACCACTCCAGGCAAAGAACTTCAAGTGCAGGTATCCTGGGGTTAGAATGTGCTTGAGTGAGGGGCCCAGACAGGGGAGCAAACCTAGGATTAGTAAGCAGGGCCTGGTCACACAGGACCTAGGAGGCCACACTAAAGACTTGTTTTAGCAGAATGAAATGAGTAATACTTGGAGGATTTTTAGAAAGAAAGTTTACCTTATTTTAAGGAGGATCCTTAAAATAAGATCCATAATCAGGTGGCAGTAATGCAGGTGAGAGACAAATGTAACTTGACAGGTGAAGGTGGCCAGCAAAGTCTGAGAGTCTGGATGCCTTTTGAAGGGGAAGCCCTTAGGGTTAACTGAAAGACTGCAGGTGAAAAAAGCTAAGTCAAGATGACTCCAAAGGTTTTGACTGGCACAAATACCTCAGTAGAGGCAATTAAGGAAACAATACATCTGCAAGTCAAAAGGCAGACTGGGGACTTGGATCTCAAAACAAACAAAAGAATCCCCAACGATATGCTGTGCACATGTGAGAGAAGTTAGAACTAAACCTGGCTGGAGGCTATGCCTGTGATCCCAGCCAACCCGAAGGCCAAGGCAGGAAGATGAGTTTGACGCCAGCCTGGGCTACATAGTGAGGCCCTGCCTCAAGGAGGGGGGGAAAAAAAAAAAGGTAAAACAAAACAGACGAAAAGATGCAAGGCAACACTCATATCGGACAAAAGAGAAGTCTTCATCTCTACCTGCGGTCTCTAAATTTGACATCTGTCAACCCAGTCCTCCAGCTACTTTGGGGACAGTTAACTCACACCCTTATCTGGACCCAACCCACAAGTGACGGAACCCCACCTGGAAGCGAATGCTGCGTAAAATTTTTATTTCAAATGTTCTCCCTCTACTTAGCTTTCTCCTTCATCGGGCAGGGGAGATTAGTAAAATGGTGACCAGGTCAGTACGTGGAAAGTCAAGGCTTTCCTCCCGGCGACACCAACGCAAGTCGCCGGCCTGCACAATTTCACCTCCTGAGGCCGCTTCCGGGTGCGAAGCTTACAGAGACGGGGCGCGTCCCGCTGGTCATGAGAGGGCTTTTGGGGGGTGCTCGCCGCCAGAGCCATCGCAGCCCCCGCGCCGGCCAGTGCGGGAAGGTCAGGGCGCAGGCCCCGCCCAAGCGGCGACCTGGGAGGAGTCGAGGAAAGGACAGAACCCCGCGCGCTCTAGGGTGACGCGGCGGACAAAGCCAGCAGGCACGCTCACCGCCTCAGCGCACGCCCTCCCGAGCTCACCTGCCAGCGGAGGCCCGAGGGTCCGCGCGGCGGCCTCTCAGGCGCCGTCCAGAAGGCAGCTTCCGGCTGAGGGCGGAAGTGCCTGGGAGACAGGAAGTCCCGCCTTCGCGGAAGTGAGCGAGGGCAGCGGGTGTTTAGACCCGAATGGATGGCGAAAGTATTGGCGGCCATAGGCCATCAAACCCAAACTCTGCGGAGAACCTTGGAATGACAGAGCACCCGGTAAATGCGTATACTCCAATTTACTTGGGACCACGGGACAGTAATTTTTTTGTTTTTTGGCGGGACTGGGGTTTGAACTCAGGGTGTCACTCTTGCAAAGCTAGTGCTCTACCGCTTGAGCCACACCTCCAGTCCATTTTGCTCTGCTTATTTTGGAGATGTGGTCTCAAGAACTATTTGCCTGGGCTGGCCTCGAACCTTGATTCTTCTGATCTCTGCCTAGTGAGTAGCTAGAATTACAGCAGTGACCCGCCGGCGCCGAGTTTCAGTTTGGTTTTTATGGGGCGTCTCACCACACAGAAGAGGGTAATGTTGATGCCTCCTAAACAGGAAAAAAAAAAAGTTAACTAAGACATGGCAGAATGAAAGTAAATGCAATACAGAAAGCAAAAAGATCCCATGCTAGTGGCTCACACCTGTAATCCTAGCTACTCAGTAGAAAGATACCAGGAGAATCACGGTTTGAAGCAAGCCTGTGCAAACAGTTCGTGAGACCCTCTCTCCAAAATGCTCAACACACAAAAAAAAGGGCTGGTGGAGTGGCTCAAGTGATAGAGGGCCTGCCTAGCAGTGTGAGTGAGGCCATGAGTTCAAAACCCCAGTACCACCAAAATAAGCCTACCCCCGCTAGACATGTTCATGTCTGTGCATTAGTTTTCTCTTACACTCAAAAGTTGTAACTGTCACTGTAGTGTTGGAATTAAAGACCCTCAGGTACAGAAAAGAGACTGAAAATCTTAAGACGATTTCTCTTGATCAAGAGGGTGCAAGCATATGCTCACTCCCACTAACCAAACTCGCAAGCACAAAATGGCTGATGGTGGCTCCTCCTTATATCCCTGACGCAGTCGTACCTGCCCCTCACCTGGGATTTGTCCAGGTCAAAGGTTCACAATCTCCCTCAATTGACTAAAAGACTTGGGAGATGGGTTAGGGCATACAGTTGGCAGGCAATGGAGTCACACAGGAATCTGGAAGAAGAAGAAGCAAGGACCCATTAAACATGCAAGTCACCTAAGATGGCAACCTGAGGAATTTTTAAGTAATCTAAGCAAATACTTTGATAGAAAAAATCATTTTTCTTATAGTAGTGAGTACCAAATGAAAGATGCATAAAGAAACGTTTAGCAAAGGGATCTGGCCCTTGATTTAAGCACATGTGCCTGGCATTGGGAGAAAACTAAGCCTTAGGACACTTGCCTAGATGGCCATAGTTTGACGGTTTCATCATTCAGGTGAAAATAATAAGTAAAAGAGCGTTCTAACCAACAAAGGGAAATTGAGCAACACTTCAGGGAGATGATTAACATTCATTCCAATTCTTGAGCAGAATTTCAACAGAGATGGATAACCCTTTGTGAATCTGCTTTCTTAGATTAATGGAAGGACAAAGGCTTCCAAAACTTTGTTCACTAAAATAAACTTACAAAACTTTGCTGTTTCAAATCCTATCAATGTAACTAGGCAGTCACATTCTTGCCTGGAGGAGCTAACCCACATGGGTCATTCTGGCCCTTTCCCAAGTTTCAAATAAGAAGTCTTTGTAACAGTTCACATACCATTCCACATGTCTTTAACTGTTATACTGTTCAAGGAATCCAGGCCTTGGAACCACCTTCATTTTTAACTCTTACCTAAATTCCACCAAGTCCTATGCTATCCCTGTCTCTTCCCTTCTCACTCATAATCCTCTACCCGGGGGCTGGGGTTGGAACCCACCACCTCCCGCATAGACAAACATTCTACCATTGTCTCTTCCCCTCCCCTTTACCTTGGCTTCTCCCAATTCATAGTGTATTTCAACATGTTAATGAACATTTTTAACACAGATTTGTCCATAATAGATGGGCTCTATCGTCTTTTCTTTTGACTAAACTTACTACATTTATAAAGGTGGCACCAATTTAGAAAAAAACTGAAGCAGAGTAAAGGTAGTTATTTACTGTCACTCATCTGTGCACTTAAAAATAACTGTGGACTTTTTAACTTGAAAGTTTGGTCTTTATTTTGCTTTGTTTTTGTGGTGCTAGAGATCAAATTCACACATGCTGAGCAGGCACTCACTCCTTAAAAGTTTTTTAAGTTACCTCTAGGGCTTGAACTCAGGAGTTCCCGCTTGCTAGGCAGGTGCTCTACCACTTGAGCCATTCTGCCAGCCCTGTTTTGTGTTGGGTACTTTCAAGATAGGGTCTTAGGAACTACTTGCCTAGGTGGCTTTGAACAGCGATCCTCCTAATATCTGTCTCCTGAGTAGGGAGGATTACAGACATGAGCCACCTGGAGCCTGGCTTAAATTACCTTTTGGCCGACAATAACAATTTGTTTGTTTGTTTGTTTGTTGGAACCAGATTTTGACCTCAGGGCTTCACACTTGCAAAGCAGGTGCTCTACCACTTGAGTCACAGCTTCAGCCCATTTTGGCAAATTATTTGCTCAGGCTGACATCAAGCCATGATCCTCCTGATCTCAGCCTCCCAAGTAGCTAGGATAACAGGCTTGCTTTCTTTTTTTGGTGATACTGGAGTTTGAACTCAGGGCTTCATGATTGCTAAGCAGGCACTTACCACTTGAGCCACTCCACCAGCCCTGTTTTTTGTTGGGTATTTTAGAGATACTGAGGCAGGGCAGAATTAGGGAAAGTTTGGGACTCATAGAAAAATATTATATCTCAGATTAACCATGCTTTGGTCCAGTGACAGCCCAGACCACCCTCACCAGGCTGGGAACCTCTCAGGACCCTCCTCACTCATTGATTATTGGATGGAAATCACCTAGTTCCTCCCTTCCCATAGATTAGCATAAATTTTAAATGTACCTAAGAAAGAGAAGCTTACACTCTGCCTCCAGATTCCACCTGGGCCATTCCATGCTTCCCTTTGTATTTCTCTTCCCTAACATTTAATAAACTCCCTTTATACCCATTTGTTCTGCTTGGATTCTTCCATGCTAGAGCGCAAGAACCAAGATCTGGAACTACATTTTACCCTTAACAATGGGGTCTCACAAACTGTGTGCCGGGCCTGGCTTTGAATGTGATCCTCCTGAACTCTGCCTCTTGAGTAGCTAGGATTATAGGTGTGAGCCACAAGTGCCCTGCTACCATCAGTCTTTTCACCTTGATGCTGGGTACTAACTCAGTTGCTTTACCCTTTTGAAGCAGTGTTTCACAAGAAGTCCACACTCATTGCCCTTCTCTCTCTCACTTTAATCCTTTACAGCCTGACCCTCTAGCTTCCCTCCTCTCTGAACTCAGGGCCTCAACTGTGCTAGGTAAGCACTCTACCACTTGAGCCATTCTACCCAGCCCTGTACAATTTAATATATGTCAGTTTTTAAAATGTCACTTGTGACTTCAAACCACCAGGGTTCTTTCTCAGCCCTTAAATCCCTCTGCAACAGGCTGACAAAGTTAATTATCCACCTTTGTTGTAAAAATCATATTTAAAATATTGTAGGAAAAACCTTCAAGCTTAAAAATTAAATATTTATGCTGCAATCCATTTTGAGTATCATCATTCACAAATTAAGTAAATATTGAGTGAGTGAGTGCTAGCTTTCAGCAAAGACTATTTTTAGGCACTGGAGATCCAGCAGTGAAAAAAGAAATGTAATGCTCCAGTCCCGGAAAACTTTGTGCTTAATTGTGTGAGATAAATGATAAATAAATCAAATGAATAAGATCATTTCAGATTTGTCAGTGCAATAAAAAGTAGGTGGTGATATGGAAGGGTAGCCAACTTAAAGTAGGAAGGTAAGGAGAGGAGAGGGGAATTTCAACAACACTTTTTTTTTTGTGGTGTTGGTGGTACTGGGGTTTGAACTTGGACCTCAGGCTTATTAGCTCTACTACTTGAGCCACTAGGCCAGTCCCTGGGAGAGAGGGGGGACTTTAAAGGTGGCATTTAAACTAATAATTGCAGGATAAGAAGGATCCAGCAGTGGGTAAAAACTGGAGGAAGAGCATTACAGACCTAGAAATAGCAAATAAGAAAATCCTGAGGTAGGAAATACTGATTGACAATTTTGCAAGTTCTTTCTAGTGCTAGGGGTTAAAGAGCAGGGTAGAGGAAGTGCCAAGAGCAAAGAAGGTAAGATGTCAGTTAAGGGCCATTGTAGTCATTTCATCTAGTGCACAAAAGAAAAAGAAGGCCTTGGGGATTGCAGCTTCTAAGAGAGTGATTGCATACCATCACCTGTAGGGGAAACTTGGAGTCCAACAGTTGGGTTTGGTGTGGGTTGTTGCTGTGTCACTGCCCATTTCAAGAAGTTCCCCTCCACTGTGGCTGGCAGGAGCAATAACCTTATGGGGATTGCTCTCCTACCCACAGTCCTCAAGATTTTTATTTTTTGGCAGTACTGGGGTTCGAACTCAGGGCCACATGCTTGCTGGGCAGGTGCTCTCCCACTTGAGCCACTCTGCCCGTCCTTTTTTGTATCGAGTATTTTGTTTCGATAAATTTTTTATTAGGATATAGCCATTATACAGGAGGGAATTGTACATCATTAACATTGCCCTCATCATCTCTCCCCCTCAACCTTCTCTGTGTTGGGTATTTTTTAGATAAGGCCTCTTGAACTATTTGTTGGGGCTGGCCTTGAACTTGGATCCTCCTGATCTTTGCCTCCTGAGTAGCTAGGATTACTGGCGTGAGCCACCAGTGGCTGGCTAGACTTTTTTTTTTTAAATCAAGGTCCTAACCATTTTTCCATGGCAAATGATGGGACCGGGGAAAGTACTGTCTTCCAGGTGAATGTGGAATTGGTCCGGGATTCAGCAGTTAAAGGAATAAGATTGCAAGATAAGATCCCGTTTAACATAACCCAGCAGGGTTGCAATGACTTT